ATCCCCTGGTTGATCTCTCATAACACCTAGAGTAATGTGTCATCACAGTTTACTTATATATATTTTTGTTAAATGTATCGCACCCACTAGATTCTAAACTCCATGCAGGCAGGAATCTGATCAGGTGTCTTTCTCACGTGACACTTCTGGCACTTAGGAAAGCTATTGGCACGTATGGGGCGCTTGATAAATATTTGCTGAGACAACATGATGACAATTCAAATGTGCATTTCCAGCCAGTATTTCTCCCCTCATGGCCCAGGGGCCAAGCATCTCTAACTACTCAAAGCTGACCTCATTATCTCTCTCCCCAATCTGTTCCTCCTTGTGTAACCTGGGTCTCAGGGAGCAGCTCCATGACCCGGGGGCCACCATCACCCCCACATCTAAGGAGTCAAACCAAGTCTTGTCTATTCTGCCTCCTTAATAGCTTGCATTTCTGCCCCTACTCTGCACCTTCACAGCTCTGAGGTTCTTGTTCGACCCCCAGGCCTCACAGCCTGTTGTCTTTGTAGCTCTGACCCCGAGACCCCGTCCTTCCAGCAGCATTGACTGCACCATGTCAGCAAGCGCTCATGAAACTTCTTCGTGAAAATATCGCTCCTTCCTTTGTTCCTGGTGGGGGAGGCATCTCCACGTGGGGGTCCTGGACCTCTCTCTGCCCCACTCACCCTTTCCTCAATAGAGGGCCAGCGTCCCTGACCAGCGCATTTGGGAGAAGGGACCGGGCCCCCCTCCACGCTGGCCTGCTCCTCGGTGCCAGTCCTTTCCTAACTTCGGGAGAACTGGCAGGTCCACCCAGATAGGAAGTCTAGCGAAGCCAGGCCATGTGCTGTGACATCCTCCGTCCATGATAATAATGCTCCTTTGGCCTCTATCTGCCGACTCTCTATTTCTTTCTCAGTCACACTGGAGAACCGGAACCATCTACTGCCTACGTCCTGGGAGAGTGAACATCAGAGTAAGTTAAAGGGTGCGAAGCGCTTAGCAGAGTGTCTGGCATAGAAGCGGCTCTTCAGAAATGTCAGATATCACCACCATTATTATGATAAACCGAGCGGGGGAAGAGGAGGTGTTATCAGTCCTGGGAAACCTCAGCGGTCCCCGCCCGAGCGCCAGTGCAGGTACGGATCCAAGGTAAAGCCTCACATGCACACAGGAGGGAAAGAGCAGCATTGCATATGCCAGCCCTGAAGCCAGTATGTCAGGCTGAGTGAGCCACACGGCCGTCTCTCCAGGGCAATTCACTTAATGTGTTGTGACGGCGAAAGCTTGGGGCTGTGTCTCGAAGCCTTTGCCATCTTCCAGTTAGTTACTCCCTCTTCCCCTCCCTCCTTCTCACCCTTCTTTCTCCTTCCTCCTTCGCATCCGTCCTCCTCATTCTTCTTCCTGCCTCCCCCTTCTCCCCTACCCCCCTTCTCCTCTTCCCAACCACATCCCAGACCAAGTCTGCCTCTGAATAGCTCCTAAAATGTCTCCCCTCTCCCTCCTCGTCCTCTCCCGCCCCGTCTACTTCTTGGGAGAATTTATTACCAATTCTCAATTCCCTGCCTTCCAAGCCATCGCTCCCCAACTCTGCAGCCAGAGGCCTCTTAGATCTGGTCATCCCCATCTCAGAAACCTCGGACAGCTCCCACTGCTCACAGAATAAAGTCCAGACACATCCCTCGCCAGCTCCTTTTTCAGCTTCTTGTCTTGCTCAGCCTTCCTTGTGCCCCACCAGGTACCCTGGGTCTAGACACATGAACCTACTTTCCATTCCTCAACGGGCTGGGAGGTCTCCTGGCATCTGCTGTCGTACTAACCTTTCAAAGGTGGTGGACCAGTCCAGGTTCTTAGTTACAAATGGCGAAACTGACTCTGGTTAAGTTAGACGGAAACATCATCTGTTGGAAGGATATTGGATGGAGCAGCAACTAGTGGGAAGGTTTGGAAATAGACTTTAAGCCGAGGCCCACCTTGTACCAGGTCAACTGCGGGTTCTGGTGTTGTGCTGTGGTTATGTGAGGTGTAACCACAGCTGGTGAAGGGTACATGGGACCTCTCTACAATCACTGTAACTTACTGGAGATCTATACTTATTTCAAAATAGAAGGTTTTAAAGACAGGGATGGGGCAGGAGTGCCGGCTGCGGTGGGTAGAGCCCATGCTACGCGTGCCCATAGGTGCAGTGTGGTCACGATGCTGCCACCCTCAGCATCTCTGCTGGAAAATCTCTCCCCAGTCCCTGCTTCCACGTGTGCCCTGCGGAGCATCCGGTCAGCCAAGTCCAGGTCTCAGATCCAGGCCCCAGCTACTGGGCAGGAGGCAGTCTCGCCCCCTCATGCTTCTGTACAGGCAGCTGAGGCTGCCTCCAGCAAGGCCCCCAACAACGCAGGGGCAGCGAAAATAGACATTGGGAAGCCAAAAAGAAAAGGGCAAAGTCCTCTTCCGGGATAGTCTGCGGCTCCCCCGCCTGGACAGTTGACATCTATCTTTATCATAACAGCATGATAATACGTGTATTGTCATTCATGCATGCACACATGCATTCATTCACTCAACAAACATTAACGAGGGCCCACCCAGGGCCAGTTGTGCAGGGGATGCTGCAGACAGCCACGCAGGCAGGCGCCCCACCCTCACAGACTTCCCTCCTGGCTCTCCTCCTCCTCCGGCATCTTTGCCTGAAGATATCCCCTTGTCACAAAAACACAAGAACAGCACAGGAGATGAGGAGCTCTGCTTCCCTGCAGCTCCCAGCCTCGGCGCACCTTGTCGGCTGCCTCCTCCGGGCACCTTGCTATAATCATTTTTCAACGTCCCTTTCTATGCGCTTTGCATTCCCGAGACTATTCCTAGAGGTCCGTGTCAGTCTCTTATATTTGTCCACGGTTAGGTAACTTTCTTTCCTTTTTAGGTACCTGTTGCTTAAAAATCTCAGCTCCCCTGGGGAACAATGCCTATGGTCCTGCCCATTTTCCTCTCAGTGGAAAGGAAGTCATTTGGAATGACACAGTCAGAATTCCCAACTCTTCTGAACTGACCTCCCCTTTGAGACAAACGTCTTAGAATCACAAGACTCCTCGACACCGTTTTTTTTTTTTAAGGAGAGGGTTGGGCGTCAGTTTATTTTTTTTAATTTATTTTTTTTTCAAGGAAGGATCTGCCCTGAGCTGACCACTGCCGATCTTCCTCTTTTTGTCGTTTTTCCCTCCCCAAAGGCCCAGTACACGATTGTACATCTGAGATGCGAGTCCCTCTAGCTCTCCTGTGAGCCACTGCCACAGCACCGCAGCTGCCACACGGGTGGTGAGGTTCCACAACCAGGAAACAAGCCCCAGCCGTGGGGCTGACAGTGCCAAACTTTGACCACTAGGCCTTCAGGGCTGGCTGTCCTCAGCACCCTTTGACATCCCCCACGCTGAAGATCAGAAAATACTCCTCACTCTACACTATCCTCCTCAGATGTTATGAACCCGAAGGTTCCATAGCCGCTTACTTCCAGGTCTCTATCGTTTCTACTTGGCTAACAGCCCATCCAGATGGTGGCCATTCCTGACAGTAGTTCCTTTGAGACATGAAATTGTTAATGAGGTGAGTCAGGAATTTGTTGGAAACCCCCACAACCTAGTTTCCACATAATAGCAAAAATGGCCTTCTGAAAACATGAAGTGGAACATGTCACCCCCTGCTGAAAACCCTCGAAGTTGCTGCCCTTCTCACTAAGTTCATCCTGTACCACTCCTGCCCTGTTCTTTCCATTCTTTGAATACATCCAACTCTTTTGTACCTCAGGACCTTTGCACCTGCTGTGACCGCTCTTCCTTGCTTAACTAGCTTCTCTTCCTTAAGGTCTCAGGGTGAGTTTCAGGCTTTCTCTGACTACCCTTCCCTCTGTAGGTCTCCCTCAGTTATTCTCCACTGAACCCCTTGTTTCTTCAGAGTACTGAGGTCAACTTGCAATTATTGTATTTACTAGACTGTTTACTTGTTTGGTTTTGGGTTTTGCTTACTTCCTGCCATTGAAAGATCAGGTCCAGGAGGGCAGGGACTGTGGTGTCTGTCTTATTCACTGTTATGTCCCCACTGCCCATCCCAGCGTCTGGTTAATGACTGATGCTCAACAACCTTCGGTAGGTGAAGGAATCTGATTTACGTGAAAAGCCTTCGGGCAGATGGCTTTTCTAGACTCTGCTCTCTGCCCATTTGGGGAGCTCTGTCTGAAACAGGATGGAATTTCTCCTAGGCCCAGAGGCCCATGGTATGCTACGACAGCGGCTCCCTCCTGTCCTTCTCTTGCCTGCGCCATACGCCGGTCTTCATCCCGCATCCCTCAGGCTTTGGCCAGTCTCTCCATTTTGGACAGGGCACACTCTGGCACGGCTGCATCAGTCTGTGAGATCCTGCTTCTGGGCCACAAGCATTCTTTCTGCCTGTCCCAACTGTTCCCCAGGTGAATCACCGGGCACATCCTGCCTTCCAGATCTTTCTACACGACACCGCTGTCCTCCAAAGAAGCCCAAATCATCAGTTCCCGGGAAGGTTCGCCCTCCTCCCCAACACGCAGCGTGAAGCTTGCCATCGGCAGGCTGTCCTCGGGCAGACACTGCTCGCCCCTGACTCACGCGCACTTCCAGCCGAGAGCCTCCGCATGCTGGTGTCTTAAGATGTGCAAGACCCGGGACGTCAAAATCCAAATAACCAGCCGTTCGTCTCCTCATCTTCTCTTTCAACTGTGCCCACGGCCGCAGAAGCAGGTGGGGAACCCGCCCCCCGCCCCTGCCCGTTTCCTTCAGCGTCGGGCCTGGGGCCCCACAGTCTCCCGATGGTGCCGCGTGGACCAGGGGCCGCCCGGGCGATAAAGCAGCAGGGGGACGGGCGGGGGGGCGGGGGGGCGCTGGCGGCTCCAGGTGACGCTCAGGGGACACAGCACACCTCCCCTGGCCATGTCAGGTCCAGTCGCCGGGCCACGCCCTCTGCCTGGGAGCACCCCACCCCCTGACTCATCACCTCTCTCCCAGAGCTTCCTGTGCCCTGTTTCTGGAAGTTGTGCTTTCTCCCTGGGCCTCCCGCATCTCCAGCCGCGAGTGCCCTCCTGTTCTCCTTCCTCTGTGGAGCCTTCCCCGCTGACTCGGGTTTTGGCTCCTCACACCCTCAGGTTGTTCCGTGAGCGTGTGTGACCCGGGGCCGCTCTCTGCGGGAGGCGAGGTTCTCCACACCGGGAGCCTCAGGGAGCAGCTAGGCTTCCTTCTCCCTTCCACGTCACAGCCTGCTGCTTTCTTTGACCCTATCCTGGGTCTGGAGGTATCAGTCTTCGACTGCCTGCTCCCTCTGCTCCACTGGCTTGTAGCACTGGTCCCATTTACAAAGGGAAGACTGAGGCCAGGGCCGTCTCTGCCCGGTGCATCCCCATGAGCCCAGCGCCAAGCGCAGCCCCTGCACATTGCAGGGCCTCCAGATCTGTTGGATGAACGAATGAATGATTTCTGGGAACTCTTCAGCCTCTCTGAGAAGCCGAAACTGGCCCTGAACTGGTTTGTCTTCTCTTTGGACCTGGTGACCCGTGACATTTGCCGCTCCCCTCCGACCGGAAGATGCGCACGGGTCGGCATCCGTCCTTGAAGCCGTCGTCAGGGTGTCTCGAGTAGGAATGCAAGGCCAAGCGGGATTCAACCCTCCGTGACGGTGAGATGATGCACGTGAAGTGCCTGTTTGGTGTGGGGCACAGCGTACATGGCAGATATGATGATCGCATGACAGCAGTGAGGAGGAGGCGGAGGCGGAAGAGGAGGAGGATGACAAAGGCGATGGTGATGAGGAGGTGATGACGGGGACTCTCCTAGCTCACTGCTGAGCTGGACGGCATGCATTTTCCGGGCTCTGCCTCGCCTCCACCTCCCGTCCTGAGGAAGCTACATGCCGCTTCCTCTCCCACTCTCACATTTTCTCCTACCCGGGATCAGGAACAAAGGCTTGGCTCCTCTCAGCAGATGACGACCAATTAGCAGAGCCGGTGAGCACAGCCAGGCTGTGAATCACCTGGGGGATGGGAGGGAAACCCTCCCAGGAGCAAGAGCATTCACGTTTGCTTCGTTGTCAGTTTTCAATCTCTGCAGTAGGGATCTCTCATCTGCTTGTCGCCAGACTCAGGAAATGGATGTTCTTGGGGGTTCCGGGGAGGATACAGATAGGTCTAGAAAGAATTTTCAAATGGTTCCATGCTATGGTGAAAAATTGAATGTCTCTCTCCCCCAATTATTTATCATATAATAAAATCTCACAGATCAGATTAAGTTATAGGTTCACCTATTTTAATTAATCTAATTAGAGAATATTGAAGAGAAAGAAAAAATTTTCCTCTTCCCTCTTAGGTTCTGTAGCTGGAGCCTGCAAATTAGACAAATTACCAGAAGAAAAGGCATATGAATTTTATCTGATGTTAATTTATATGTGCATGGGTTAATATTTTAATTTTAACATGCACAAAGGCCTTCACAGAAAAGAGATGAAGACACAAAGAAGTGGTTAAACTCAGGGGGCTTGTACACCATTTTAATAAAGGGCAATAAATTTTTGAAATGTGACAAGACAAATGAAAAGGAGGTTGGGCTTCTAGGGGTGATAAACTGTGGGAAGGTAAATATTCTGGAGAAACTAATGTAAGACAGAGGTTATTCCGTAAGGTTTTGTCTATGCAAACTCATCTTGGTGCCGTCTCTGTCTCCGCCTCCGTCTCCGTGTCTGGTGATGAAGGCTGCTCTTCCCTTCCTGGTGAGAGGGGAGGGCATCTTCACCAGGGAAATTTATGTCCTACTTTTAGGCAAATAGCGGAGGGCAGAATGCTTTTCCCATGTCTGCTTCTTCTCAATTGCCTTTAGCTCAAAATAATCCTTACGCCTAAGTGGAGTATTTAGGGTGGCATATTTTGATCCCCTTCAATATTTTAAAAGAAATTTAGTTATATTATCCTCAAAACTGTATAGAAACCCAGAGCAGAGGAAAACAGAATCTTGCCCCATGTAGACAACGGCAGATTAATTTGGGGAACAGAAAAGGATCATTTAAATCAACAATAGATTACTAATATACAAATGATGGCTTCTAAATCATGGCAGACATGTTTTTCTCTTACATAAATTAACTGTTTTCCTTCTCATCTTTCTTGCTCAGCAAATCTTCTTCTACAACATGTATGTAAATTACTACATACTTCAAACTAGTGAGGTTAAAATAAATTATGGTTGACGTGACTCATTATTTAGAAGAGAGTAAATCATTGAGAGGAAATGATCTTATTTCCTTATCAGGAAAAATACCGTATTTCTCGGTTTCGTAAAAAGCTCAGGTTTAAGGGCCGGCCAGGAGCATAGCGGTCAAGTTCGTGTGCTCCACTTTGGTGGCCTGGGGTTCAGGGGTTTCGATCCCGGGTGTGGACCCATGCACTGCTCATCAAGCCATGCTGTGGCAGGCATCCCACATAGAAAATACGGGAAGATGGGCACAGATGTTAGCTCAGGGCCAATCTTCCTCAAGAATAACAACAACAAAACTCAGTTTTAGAGCATCTGTGAATGGAAGGGATGGGGTTCCCTGACCTTCCAGGGGCTGTCACCCCATCACACCTCTGGTCAGCCGATCACAGTCCCAGGAAATCAGCCCCAGGGTGGGGCACCAGTGTTCCCACCAGCTTGCTTTTAGCACAACGCCTGGGCCTGCCTTCTCCTCTTGAATCGCGCAAAGTACAGGCAAGGAGTAGTGTTGGGCGGAGAGCATTAACTCCAGATGGCGCCTCCGTCTTCAGTCCAGTCCATCAGTTTCGGTGGAGGCTAAAACTGACGGTCGCTCTGACACTCATTCTTGTCTAGGAACACATGGGTGATGTTTACTTAGAACGTTACCTTCAAAAAGCCCAATGTTTTACAAAATGACATTTTTAAACCTACTCTTCCCATCTGCTGACACATAAAGGTAAGAAAATGAAATTAATTTCACTACACACATAGCAAATTAGGCTGAAATCAAAGAAAACCACATAAGTCAAGAGTTACACCTGCTGTGACGTGGAAGTACTTTTTGTCTTTTTGCTCTTGGGAGCTTCATAGTTTTCATAATGATTCAATAAACAACTCTTTAATAAAGCAAAAAAGAATGAAATCAGGAGAAGAAAGCATTGTTTTAAATTACCCAAAGTTCAAGTCTGATTTTGGAACTGTGTTCTGCCCACCCTCTTTAGGATGGGTCAGTATCTCAGATGGTGACCAAGCCTCCGCTCCGAGAGGACCGCTGAGTAAGGAGCAGCGCCCTACGGGGCAGAAATGCAGAAGAGAAGACGAACGCCCAGCCAGCAGCCTGGGGAACCCGCCGGCATCAGAGGCGTCCAGGCTGAGGGTGGTCTCAGCGGGCGCTCTCCTGGCCCCCAGGTTCAGGCACTAAGTCGCTCCACCTCAACTCTCTGTTCCTGGTTCTCCTGCCCTTTGCACGTCCATCCCTCTGTCTGGAAGCCAAACACATCGAGGGCGCCCCCAGGCTGCCCGTCAGGAAGGTGCAGAAGCCCTGCCTGGGGCGGTGGGTCCGTAACCACCCCGCTCCCACCCACAGACAGTATAAAAGCGAAATGAAACAGAAGAGCATTCTACTCTGACCCTTTCTTTTTCAACTCAACTGCTGGGCACATGGGGTTTTGCACTTTAGGGCCGAATGAGGGTGACTTCAGCCAAATCCGGGCTGTTTCTGAAGAAATGTGAATAAATGCAAAAGGCCCTGACTCGAGAGAGCGGCGCTGTCTAGCTGCCCCAGGCAAACGTAAAGAGCCGGACAGGTTTACGCAGCCGGAGCGGTGCCTCGAGGCGGGGGCCCCAGGGTGCGCCCCTAAAGGCTCGCCAGGCCCGAGCCAGCCAGGCCCACGATGAAGACGCTCCATCCTGCAAGTCCTGATTAGGGCTTCTGCGAAACTGTCTTCCAGGACTGTAATCCCACACCCGCCCTGGGCGGCCCCCGAGACACGGCTGTCCGTCACCGGGATGGGTACGTGCGCGGCCGGCACGTGGCGGCTCTGAAGCCCATTCTTTACGTCGCGCCTCGTCTTTCCATTTCTAAAGGGCGCTCTCCTGGGCAGAGGGCGCAGCCCATCACATGTCAGGGCGGAGGAGAGGGAGCCGCTCCTCGGGGGACCCCAGCCCGCTCTCCTCAGGGTAACTGGTGCCCCTTGGGAAGCCTGTGTTCTGCCTCTGCGGAGCGGGTCTCCGTGAGAAGCCGGGCTGCGCGTCACCGCACTGAGCCCCAGAGAGACAGGACGAGTTTAAGAGGGTGTGCATGTCTGAACTTCACGCTGAATCAAAATCCTTTTCCTCCAAAGTCTGATGTCGTTGGTGGGTGAAGGGACAAGGCCAGCGAGGGGTGAGGGGGCCTGATCCTGCACGTGGAGAGGGTGGAGGGAGGAGGGCTCGTTGAAGTTACAGCGCGCTGCGGCAGAGGATGGGGGGCCAGTGTAGCTTTTTGCCTCCTGGGGTCTCCAGCTACCCCTCTCTCACCACCCTGCCCCGCCCCAGCCCAGCCTGAACTGCCCTGGCCCCTCTTCTCGGCCCCAGGGCTCCCCAGGTCACAGACAGACGGCCAGGCAGACCAGAGCCTGGCCCTGGGTCGGGGCAGGGAAGCCAGGACGCGCTCCAATCTGCCGCCGCTCAGACTAGCGCTTGGAGAGGCTCGAGTTCAGGAGCTGAGCAAAAATAAACACGGGCTATAAATAAGCCCGTAGATGTCTTCAAGGCCCGAGCGCGACGAGGAGAGGGTGCCACCGCAGAAGTGCTCACTTGAAAAATTCTAAACGCGTCAAAATAACTTTGATAAACTCGCAAAGACGCCTGGCTCAGGGGAAAGGAATGGGCCCCGCGCCCCGAGAGCCCACTTCCCGCGCCGCCGCCGGGAGAGCCACCGCGGGGCGGGCGGGGCGCGGGGTCCCCTCTGGCGCCGCTGACTCACCGCGGCCCGCGCCTTAAAAGGGCAGTCGCTTCCGGGGCCGACCCGGCGTTGGGGGGGGGGGGGCTCGTTGTCACCTCCTGTGCCCTCGCTCGGAGTGGCACCCCTTCCACTTCAAGGCTGACCGCTATGCCTGATCCTACGTCTTTCAACCCGGTGAGAACCCCCCTTCCTCCCCATCCCTTTCCCCCTCTGTGCCTCTCTCCCCCATCTCCCTCCTGCCCCTCCTCCTTCCCCTCGCCCTCCTTCTCAGGGGCAGCTGTTTCGGCCCTAATACATTCTCGAGCACCCACTCGTCCTCCCTGGTCCCCATCTGAGAACATCCCACGCCTCAGTCAGCGCCCTCCTGGGCCTCTCCCTCGCCCTCCAACTTCTCCAAAGCTTGATTGACACTTCCTGACCCACCACCGTGCGCCTGCCATCTCCTCAAAGTATTCTTTTCAAAACAAGAGGATTTTTATGTTTATATTGTTTCAAATTTAAAGAGGTTGCGGAACTTACAAACAATCCCCCAAACTCTTGGCCCAGATTCTCCGCTTGTGAACGTCTGCCACATTTGCTTTAGCATTCTCTCTCTCTCTATGTATATACGTATTATTCTCTAAACCATTTGCAGGTAAACTGCAGATGTCATGTCTCCTTATCCCTAATTACTTGGCTGTGTCTTTACTAAGGGCAAGGACATTCATGGCAGAGTCAGCAAAAGAACAAGACTCAGGGATGCCCAGTGACCTCTGAGCCGCACAGTCCGGTGGCCTGGCAGGGTTCATTTGGCTCGACCTTTCTGCCCTTTGGTCTCTGTCTGTCTCTCTCTCTGTGTCTCCATCTCTCTCACTCTCCTCTCCTTCTCGCGTTTCATTGGCTGCTCTCCTGCCTCCCTTCCGAGGTGGGTCTCTGCAGGGTCCAGCTTTCTGTCTCATTTACAGCCTCTCCCTGGAGGAGGCCGTGGACTCCCACGGCGCCCGCGGTCACCCATCCTCGATGAGCCTGGACTCTTCAGCCTGGGCCCCCTCTAAACTTCTACGTGAATGTCCACGGCTTTCCGGGAGCCGCTCCCTCAGTCCAAGTCCCTTGCAGCTCCTCCACTCATCGCTGTAAACCGGCCGTGTCAAAGAGCTGGAGTCATCGCCCCTGCACCCTCCCTAGCTGGTGACCAAGCAGACACCCTCCCTCTCCTTTGAACTCTGTCCCCTCCAGACTCTTGCTTCGTCGTTGGTCACGTGCCCAGGCCTCCTCTGCTCTGACTCTCTCATCCACCTCTTCCGTCCTGTGAACTCCTGGGTCAAGCCTCCGCCGCACTTGCTTCTCAGCCCCTGTTGGCCTGGCTTCCTGCGTGGGGCCCCTCGCCCACCCAGAGCTGCCGTGGACGTGATCAGGTCCTGTCTTGACTGAAATCGCTGCCCCCTGGGTTCTTCCGTGGGTTCCAAAGAGCAGATTCGTGGGTCCCTGAAAAAGCGTTCAGTTGTGGGGAGAGGAGGGAAATATTTTCTGGGGAAAGGGTTGGACCTTTCATCAAATTTTTGACAGAATTTGTGACCTCTCCCCCAAAGAAAAGAAGCAACTGGCCTGTGGGTTAAAGTTCAAATTCTTTGTGGGATCCAAGACCACTTACTTTTGCCTCAGTCCAGCCTTCCCGACCCAGCTCCCAGGGCTGCTCTCTGCAGCCCGCACATCCAGCCCAGCGCTTCCCAAGTATGCGGGTCACAAGAATGACCCCAGGCACCGGGTGAAGATTCAGGCTCCGGGCGCTCCCCGTGCATTCTGATTCAGAGGGTCTGAGTGGTGGTGTGAGGGTGAGCATGGAGGGAGCCCCAGGGATCTGTATTTAACAAGCAGGGGTTCTAATGGGGAAAAGCCGGGCTAGAATCAGCCAAGGGCTTTCTTGCCTCCAGACTTTTGCATACGATGGAGTTCCCTCTTCCGGAATTTGCACCCACTCCACCCCTCCATTGATAAATTCCTATTTATCCTTCAATGTCCAATTCAAACATCAGCACCCTGGATGAAGTCTCCTGTAATCATTCTCATGTTAGAGAGGTCGCGGCAACGCCGCTGTAACACAGACCCCCGAATGCTGAGGCTTATCTGAGAGGGATGTTTCTCTTCCCTTTCCCGTACCAGCTGGGTGGTGTGGGCCTGCGCGGAGGCTGTGCTCCCGCAGCTCATCCTTGTCTCTGCGTGTTCCAGGTAGTGGCACTCGTCGCTGTGGCTGAAGCCAGGTCCCTGCCAAGCCTGTCAGCAGGGGAGGGAGAAGGGAGAGTGAAGGGGGGTCGTGCCAGTGTGTCAAGACCCCACCAGGACATTGCACACCTGATGGGAGCTCACACCGGCGAGAACTTGGTCACACTTAGCCCCACTAGCTGCAAGAGAGGCTGGGAAATGTCGTTTCTAGCAGGGTGGTCCTGTGTCCACCTCTCACAGCTGCCTGCTCCGGCCGAAGTCATTGCCATCTGCTCAGACAGAATGGAAACGAGGATGTATTGGGCACTTGCCATGTGCCAGACATTGTGATGGCCATTTTCCGACGTCATCCCCTTTCACCTTCACCAGTGTTTTACCTACACTGAGACAGCTGGGCCCAGCTTGGCTGGGCTGCTGCCTCCCGAGTCATGCTCTGTGGAAGTCCTCCGTCTCAGGGCGCCTCTCTAGGTTAGTTTTTTGCATGTCTGCCTCCCCCACTGAGTATGTGCTTAATAAATGCTCTACTAAGTGGTGAATCAGAGTGGGTTCATTAAATTAGCTCATGAAAATTACATAATGTCACCTCACTGGGTTATGTTGTAGGCTATTTTTGTTTTTCCTCCTTTGTCCCCTGAGCAGTAATTAGCTGTCAGTCCCTGCAAGCGCTCAGGCAGAGTGTGGACGCCCACCTCAGGGAGGTTGTATTGGATTAGATGAACCCCAGGACCCCCACAGTCCCAAGGAGCTGTATTTCACCTCCACCTCAATCACAACTTTTGGCAATAATTTTCATTCTTCCACTCGGCAAATCTGTGCTAAGGGCCACCCAGTCCCAGGTCCTCTCAGTGCTGAGCACTCAGTCGTGTACTAAGGAGGCCCCTGCTCTCAGGAACGAGCATGGGATGAAAAGACAGATAGTAAACCCACCAACAAGAAGACAGATGGCAACTCAGACAGAGATAAGAGCCAAGAAGAAAATAAAAGAGGACAAGATGAGAACCATATGCCTGACGACCAGGGAAGGCCTCTCCAAGGAGATGACAATTCAAGGGACACCGAATGAGAGAAGCGACAGCCATGGACAGCTTTCCCAGCAGAGAGAACAAGCCCCAGTTGGAGTGTCTGAGGTTCCCAGAGCAGCCAGGGTGGCCGGAGCAGAGCAGGCGAGGAGAGAGATGGGAGAGCCAGGTGGGGGCCAGGTGGCACAGAGACGCACAGACCAGGGGGCGGGGCCTGTTCTAATGGGACAATAAGTCACGTCCAGCTATGAGCCGGGCAGTGATGCGATCCTATTTAGATTGTTGGACAGTTGTCCCAGCTGTTGTGTAGAAGGTGGATTTTGTAGAGCTGGAGTGGAAGTGGGCTCCCGATGGGAACATTTTTGAATGGTCCACCAGAGAGCTGACGGAGGCTGTGACCAGGGTGATAGCAGTGGAGACGAGAAGCGGCAGGTCTGTGTTCTGTGAACAGCCCACAGGTCTTTCTGAAAATGCTTCTTTTTAGATAGCTACCACGTCCTCATCTCCTGGGGCATTAACACGTATCATTACATCCCCTGGAATCAAGGGCTCACAACACAGGACCGTGTGGTGGTCAGTGTGACAGCCCCTCTCCCAGGCTTGAAGGCTGCGTCTTGTCTGACTGCAGATTATACTCATGGGTGGGCTCTTCACCTTGGCCTGAATCCCTCTTTGGGTAGAGGTGATCATGGACAGTAGCCCTGCCTCCATCAAGCTCAGTCCCATTGGAGAGACAGACAGTGAACAAAGACAAAAATACATGTAAAATGACACCTGTGAGGAGAGGTACACAATGTCAGGACACACAAGACGGGCTTTGACCCCTAAGAGCAGTCAAAGGAGCCTTTCAGGAAGCACTGCTGGAGCTGACACTGGGAGGAAGGAGTGGGGTGGAGGCATGTCAGCAGAGTCTGACATGTGCAAAGGCTCTGGGGCAGGAGGGTCAGTGTTCCTTCCAGGAACCATTATTGAGCAGATAGCAAGGAAGGTTGGATGGGGACCAGTGTGGGTGTGTGTGTGTCTGTAGCAGAAGATGGAGGCGTTCCTTTAGGGTCTCTGGTCACCTGTGAGGATGGGCAAGCAGCTCAGAGGCTTGGAGAGCAGAGAAGGTTGATAAAGGCATTTTGAAAACAGCATTTCCCACACTATTCCTGGTTTAAGGGAAAGCTCTGTTGCTGAAAATGCATATTTGACCCAGAGATAGTAAGTTTCATTTGAAGCCAATGGATTGTGATCCAAGTTCTGAACTCTCTCCACTAGCCTAAAAGCGATCGTCATATAAAATCAGTCTAGCACTGGGGCCGGCCCCGTGGCCGAGTGGTTAAGTTTGTGCGCTCCACTTCAGCGGCCCAGGTTTTCGCCGGGTCAGATCCTGGGCGCAGGCCTAGCACTGCTCCTCAAGCCATGCCGAGGTGGCGTCCCACACAGCACAGCCTACAGCTAGAATATACAAGTATGTACTGGGGGGCCTTGGGAAGGAGGAGGAAAAAAAAATCAGTCTAGCATTTATAAGCCAAGATGGCACTGACATTCTTGGGTAGGATTCCTGAATTATCCTACAGAGGGAGAAGAAGAACAGCCCGGTCACTCCATTTATCCTGGTGAAAATTCCAGGGCAGTCCAGAATTTGCCAAAAGTGCTGAAAGTCGGTTCAAAAGAACTCTTGCATACCTCCCCGTCCAGGGCCACCGCCTGCTAAACGCTTCCTTATTAAAAAGAGAAGATGTCTCTTCAGGCCGATGAGAATGAACTACTCGCTAGAATACAGACGACACCCCCTAATATTTTTTTCACTATTAACTTGGAGCACCTGGAAGGAAGGAAGGCCAACCTCCCACCATGTCTGCCCTGCTTTTTAAGTGAGTTCACTGGGGAGAAACTGTCGCATTGCAAAACTTGAGAAATGCCTGCCAATCCAAAAAGTTTCTGTAACAGGAACCAATACGCATGTAAAAGAAAAATCAAAAAACTAGAAGGAGGAAGGTGCTTAAACACATATGCTTTAAAATGAAAATAATTTTTTTTAATAAAAAGATAGCTTGGACCTGATTTAAAAGAGAAAAAAATTACAGGCAGTCAGGGAACAAAAATTAAGATTTGTTTCCTACAAACCCTAAGACCATGTATGCTGGAGGAGAATGTGTGTGTGTGCGTGTGTGTGGGGGGGGGTTGCATTAGCGCTCAGTTTCAGAAGTGTCAGAGTGTTCATACATAATGATACCCCAGGCCGTCCAACCCTCGGAACTTCTCCCAAGGAAATACTTTGAATGAAAAAAACCAGTTGTGTGCACAAGATGCTTATTGCTTCGTTATTTGCAATATTTTAAAGAAGTTAGACTTTATTCTGGAGAGAATGGGAGCAGAGTGTTATATGTGAGTCAGATGGTCCGGGGCGTTTACAGTCAGTGCCGGTGTGGCGGAAGGGTTAAAGGAGAGGAGGACAACAGGTGAGGCGCTGGTGAGTTGTTCTAGATAAGGGGTGGGGAGGGCCTGACTAAGGCCGTAAACTCCAGCTTAGTGAGGAGAGCCTAGTCAAAGGGATGTTTAAAGGATCATTTAAATGTGCATAAGGAGAGAGAAGGAAGAATCTAGACGGACACTCAGTTTGAGTGGATGTTGGTGTAGCCAAAGAAGATGGAGAACACAGGTGAATGAGTTTGGTGTCTGCCTGTCTGACTGTTTGGGGGCTGAAGTGAAGGGGTGGAGGGAGGAGGCGGTTCTGTTTGGGGTATGCCGAGTTGGAACTACCCACAGAATTGCCAGGTAATGACATCCAGGAAGACGCGATGGAAAATGTGGGTCTGGACTGAGACAGGAAGGTGGCTGGAGATAAATAACAAATAAACGTTTTCCAGAAGAAATGTGAGGGCGTCAGTGGCTCTCCTCTTTCCTCATCTTGGTCTTCATCCTGTTGGTTGGGTCTTTCGGAGGCAGCTGATACTGTTGACTCCCTTCTGGAAGGTCTCTCCTCCGTGAGTCCTCGATCTCACACATTCTTCATCTTTTCTGACTTCTACATTCGTTTCTTTCCTTTCTGTTTTGAAGATTATTTAAAAGTAAATATTTCTCTCCAAGTAATCCATTTTTACTTTAGAAAAAAAAACACTAGAAAATACAGATAATTAGAAAGAAAAATTAAAGTCACAAAGCATTTTGGTGTATTTCCTTTCAAGTCTTACTCTCCCTTCCAGTGCTGTCTGCTCACTGGGTCGGGTCTCCCCCAGCACACACTCGGGGCAGCCTCTCCCTGTGAACTTTCATCACAACTAAAATTAAATAATTATTTGCATCATTACTTCTCTAAAAAGCTGAATCATTTAATGAATGTATTCATATAAATGCATTTTTTACCAAAACGAGACCAATTGGTAGACAATGTTTTATAATGTATTTTCCTCGTGTATTAATGCATCGTAACAATCTCTACTACCCCTGTCAATCTATATGATCCCTTTGATGCTACCTAGTATTGAATTCAACTGTATAGCTGAACCAAAATTTATCTCAATCTCTTGTTATTGGACATTTAAGGTATTTCCAAATGTTCTCTGATCTGCTTTAGACGGCTTTAGGTGCACGTCTCTGCCTGCTTCTTTGGTTATCTTCTCAAACTGGCATCACTGGGTCGAAGATTTTCAGCTTTTGCTGGAGGTTGGCAAATTTCTTCCAAAAAGTCCACCAATTTACACTTCTACCTTTTTGTTTTATTAAAACTTCTTTTCCCCTAAAACAAAAATAGCACATATTAACAATAGACAGAACACAGGGGAGTAAATAAAGGAAGTGTGAGCGCCTACAGTCCGGGCTGCAGCTTTACAATCCCTTGGGGGTGGATTCTTCCGCATCTTTCCCGTATTTGTCTATGCAGATGCCCTTGGGAGTCAGACGTTTACTGTTAACTAGCTGTGTGGCCCGAGGCGCGTTTCGTAATGTCTCCAAGCTTCTGTTTTCTCACCTGTAAACTGAAGATGGCAATAGAGCCATGTCACAGGTTGTCCTAAGCATGCAGGGCAAGTATGCTGCCCTGTGCCTGGCTCATTACAAACTCTCAAGCCCTGCTCCCATGATACTGTGTGAACCTTTTTTCCCCGGCCAGTGATGTATACGGACATCTTTCTTTGTGCCTAGTGGACACTTCTAGCTCCAGTCTTTTAGATGAACCTCAGGCGTACAGCTCTAATCACAGACTGTTGATACCACCAATGGTATTTTGCTGACGTCACGTATTCATTTGGTCCCAGCCAACCTAGTTACAAGTTCCTCCTCCCGCTGCCCGTTCCCATCTTAGTCACTGTCATCTGTCCTGGAAGCACCAGGCAGAAACCACCAGAACACCTTCCTCCCGCTCCCACAGGTAACTGGGTTTACAGCAATTCTGTTATTCTATCTGGAGTGCAGCTGAGTCAGACAGGCCTTGGTTGAATCCTGGTCCTGCTCCTTACACAGTGTGACCACGAGCACTCACCTCTCCTTTCTGAGCCTCAGTTTCTTCGTCTGTAAGATGGGGCAACAGACCTGCCACTTAGGGCCGCGGTTCTGATGGTGAAGTGAGA